GATTCTGGAGATCAGTGGGGAAATAACTCCAGAAAGAATGAAGAGACTGAGCCAAAGCAAAAACAACACCCAGTTATGGATGTGATTGGTGATGGAAATAAACAATGCTATAAAGAGCAATATTGCATAGGAACCTGGAATGTTAGGTCCATGAATCAAGGCAAATTGGAAGTGGTAAGCAGGAGATGGCAAGAGTGAACATTGACATTTTAAGAATCAGTGAGCTAAAATGGACTGGAATGGGTGAATTTAACTCAGATGACCCTTATATCTACTATTGTGGGCAAGAATCCCTTAGAAGAAATGGAGTAGCCCTCGTAGTCAACAAAAGTGTCTGAAATGCAGTACTTGGGTACAATCTCAAAAATGACAGAATGATCTCTGTTTCCAAAGCAAACCATTTAGTATCACAGTAATCCAAGTCTATGCCCCGACCAGTAATGCTGAAGAAGCTGAAGTTGAATGTTTCTGTGAAGACCTACAAGACCTGCTAGAACTAAGGCCCCCAAAAGATGTCCTTTTCATTATAGGGGACTGGAATGCAAAAATAGGAAGTCAAGGAATAGCAGGCAAATTTGGCCTTGGAGTACAGAATGAAGCAGCGCGAAAGCTAACAGAGTTGTGTCAAGAGAATGCACTGGTCATAGCAAACACCCTCTTCCAACAATACAAGAGAAGGCTCTAAATGTGAGCATTATCAGATGGTTCATACCAAAACCAGATTGATTATATTCTTTGCAGCAAAAGATGGAAAAGCTCTATACATTCAGCAAAAGCAAGACCAGGAGCTGACTGTGGCTCAGATCATGAACTCCTTATTGCCAAATTCAGACTTAAATTGAAGAAAGTAGGGAAAACCACTAGACCATTCAGTTATGACCTAAATCAAATCCCTTATGACTATACAGTGACAAATAGATTCAATGGATTAGATCTGATAGGCAGAGTACCTGAAGAACTATGGACAGAGGTTCATGACATTGTACAGGAGGCAGGGATCAAGACCATCCAGAAAACGAAATGAAAAAAAAAAAAAAAAGGTTGTCTGAGGAGGCCTTACAAATTGCTGAGAAAAGAAGAGAAGTGAAAGACAAAGGAGAAAAGGAAAGATATTCCCATTTGAATGCAGAGTTCCAAAGAATACCAAGGAGAGATAAGAAAGCCTTCCTCAGTGATCAATGCAAAGAAATAGAGGAAAACAATAGAATAGGAAAGACTAGAGATCTCTTCAAGAAAATTAGATACCAAGGGAACATTTCATGCAAAGATGGGCACAATAAAGGACAGAAATAGTAGGGGCTTAACAGAAGCAGAAGATATTAAGAAGAGGTGGCAAGAATACACAGAAGAACTGTACAAAAAAGATCTTCATGACCCAGATAATCACAATCATGTTATCACTCACTTAGAGCCAGACATCCTGGAATGCAAAGTCAAGTAAACCTTAGGAAGCATCACTGCGAACAAAGCTAGTGGAGGTGATGGAATTCCAGTTGAGCAATTTCAAATCCTAAAAGATGATTCTGTGAAAGTGCTGCACTCAATATGACAGCAAAATTGGAAAACTCAGCAGTGGTCACAGGACTGGAAAAGGGCAGTTTTCATTCCAATCCTAAAGAAGGGCAATGCCAAAGAATGCTCAAACTACCGCACAATTGCACTCATCTCACACGCTAGTAAAGTAATGCTCAAAATTTCCAAGCCAGGCTTCAACAGTATGTGAACTGTGAACTTCCAGATGTTCAAGCTAGATTTAGAAAAGGCAGAGGAACCAGAGATCAAATTGCCAACATCTGTTGGATCATCGGAAAAGCAAGAGAGTTCCAGAAAAACATCTATTTCTGCTTTATTAACTACACCAGAACCTTTGACTGTGTGGATCACAGCAAACTATGGAAAGTTCTTAAAGAGATGGGAATACCAGACCATTTCTGCCTCTTGAGAAATTTGTATGCAGGTCAAGAAGCAACAGTTAGAACTGGACATGGAACAACAGACTGGTTCCAAATCGGGAAAGGAGTACATCAAGGCTGTATATTGTCACTCTGCTTATTTAACTTATATGCAGAGCACATCATGTGAAATGTTGGACTGGATGAAGCACAAGCTGGAATCAAGATTGCTGGGAGAAATATCAATAACCTCAGATATGCAGATAACACCACCCTTATGGCAGAAAGTGAAGAAGAACTGAACAGCCTCTTGATGAAAGTGAAATAGGAGAGTGAGAAAGTTGGTTTAAAACTCAACATTCAGAAAACAAAGATCGTGGCATCTGGTTCCATCTCTTCATTGCAAATATATGTGGAAACAATGGAAACAGTGATAGACTTTATTTTTATGGGCTCCAAAATCACTTCAGATGGTGACTGCAGCCGTGAAATTAAAAGATTGAAGAAAAGCCGTGACCAACCTAGACAGCATATTAAAAAGCAGAGACATTATTTTGCCAACAGAGGTCTGTCTAGTCAAGGCTATGGTTTTTTCAATAGTCAAGTATGGATGGGAGAGTTGGACTATAAAGAAACCTGAGCACCGAAGAATTGATACTTTTGAATTGTGGTGTTGGAGAAGACTCTTGAGAATCCCTTGGACAGCAAGGAGATCCAACCAGTCCAGCGGAAATCAGTCCTGAATATTCATTGGAAGGACTGAAGCTGAAACTCCAATACTTTGGCCACCTGATCTGAAGAGCTGACTCATTGGAAAAGATCCTGATGCTGGGAAAAATTGAGGGTAGGAGGAGAAGGGGACGACAGAGGATGTGATGGTTGAATGGCATCACTGACTCAATGGACATGAGTTTGGGTAAACTCTGGGAGTTGGTGATGGACAGGGAAGCCTGGCATGCAAAGAGTTGGACAATGGATTTGCAAAGAGTTGGACACGACTGAGTGACTGACCTTAACTGAGCTGAGTCTTTTCCCCCCTCTCTGTCCAATCGTCTTGCTTTGACCCCATGGTTGAGATTGATTATCTCCCATGTGTATGTGTACTCTTCAACTCAGGTGGATTTCAGCGCAAACACCTCTTTGGGGGAGAGGGGTTAGTGTGACTTATTATGTTTGATTTCTTTGGTGAATTCCTTATTCCTGTTGCTGACCCATCTTCCTGTTAGAATAATGAACAATGTCAATTCTACAGTTAAGTGAAAATGTGAAGGTTGATCTAGCTTGTGGCTTAGGCTACTGTGTTTCTGCTTCCCCACATCTGTAGCAGCTAAGGCAAAAACCTTACCCTCCCACTTCTACCACTATTATAAAAATTACAAAATCTGCTTCCAAAAGTGTTTGCCGGCTTTCCAAAAACCAGTTCCTTTAATGTACTGTCTTGTCTTCATAGGACTCAGAAAAAAACCCTTTCCATGTCTTTGTCATAACAACATTTAATATCTGAAACGACGCTAGTATTGATTTTTTTTTTTTTTTTTTTTTTTGCTTGTTTGTCGTTTGTTACTCTCTCCTCACTAGCCCCAGTAAGGAAGAATTGTTTTGAAGACAGGGACTCTGTACTTCTTGTTCACTGATGTCTTCATCGGCAAAAACAACAGTACCTGGAACTCAGTAGGTGCTCGGTGCTTAGTAATTATCCCTTGAGCAACTGTGGCTGGCCTGTAGAGAGAAGTCCAAGTCACAGGCAGCAAGATGCTGAAAACAATCATCTGTCTCTTCCAATACTGAGAGTTTTCCCAAATCTGTGTTCTTTGGCTACCACTTCCTTTGGGATGTATCTTCCCTCTGGATGGTTTATAGCTTTTTAGGCAAACAGAGCCCATTTAGGTACCAGCCCCAGGCAAGACTAGGACCTATTGAGATCCTGAGAAGTGTTAAACAGAGTGGGGTGGCTGTGCCCCCAAGGGGTGACCTGGGGCTTTGAGGCTCTGGATTAACCTTAGAGTTAAATGTGGGGTAATTCCACTCCAAGACAGCTGTATAACCTTGGGCAATTTATTTAACCTCTTAATGCCTGGTGTTTCTCAACTGACTAACTTTTCTCAAGTGAACTAACAAGAGTGCCAGCCTCATATAGTTTTAGTGTGAGGATTAACAAAGGTAATATAGTGAAGCACTTAAAGCAGGGCCTGACACACAGTGAAGTGCTTGGTAGATGTTGTTATGATTGTATTAGTCTGAGCTCTTAGCTACAGTTCTGTATCTGTCTCCCTCCCTTGCGATTAACAAGGAATCTGCATATATAAAGGTGGTGGCCAAGGTAGATAGGGTTTGTTTGCAAATTACTGCCCTGGGATTATTTTCTTCTAAAGCCCTTTTATGCAAAATGCCAGGCAGCTTTAATTTTGATTCTTTTTCTACAGGAACTTGTGATGGGAATAGGTATTATACTATTTCTAGGAAAGTCTGAGGCATTGAAAGGTTAAATGATTTGCTCAAGGTCATAACAAATGAACGGTGACTAGGAGATGGAGATTATATGACTTCTCGTCTACTGTCCCAGACCAGACTCACTCTATCAAGATGTTATGCTCAGACTTGGTACTCTAGATCCAAAGGGCCTGGGCTCTTCCCACGCTTCCCGTAGCAGCATGCAGATGGTGAGCGTAAAAGGAAGGAGACAAGTCAAACGCTGTACCGTGGACAGAAAGGTATAAAATTGAAACACGTTCCTTTCTGTTATTCCACTTCTATCTGAGGTCTGTTCTTTCTCTTTACTCACGTGAAAACACTATTTATTCGCTTTGTGGAGGAACTGTATCCCAGTTTGAAATTATTTCTGTCAACTGCAAAATAAAGTTATTGACTATATAAAATAAGATAAGATCACCTTGGCAACTTCAAAAATAATAAAGTATGCTTTTATAAGAGGTAAAATTTTACACCAACAGCAATTTATAATAAAACATTAAATTTATCTTTATTGCAGGAAAAAATAAATTGGACCACATTTGTACACACTACTTTATAGCCACACATTATACTAGCGGAGAAAGCTGTAATACAGAATGGAAGTATACAAATAGAGAAGTATCTCCTAGAGCTATTTTAGTGACTGAGGCTGTGGTAAGCTGCTTCTGCCAAAATTGCATACTGGTGTTTCATGAATTGAAGCCTGGGCTGCAGGCTTAGAGAAAAGGCCGCCGCGGGTTCTAGCCAGTCCTGCGGGGTAGGATTAATGAGCGTGGAGGCGGGGAGAGGGGCAGCCCAGGGCCTCTGCGCCGGAAACCGACGGGACAAGCGGCAGAGACGGGGCAGCGGGAAGGACGGGGACACACACGCCACCAAGAGCCGTGGGGCCCAGCAGGTGACCGGAGCAGACCCCGAGCTGCCGGCGCCCACCCGAGGCGGAGGGCAGCCCCCGCCCGCACCGCTCCCGGGAGGGCCGCGGGGCCGCGCGCGTGGCCGGCGGCGGCCGCACAAGCGCGGGCCCGGGAAGGAGCGCTCGGGCCGGAGCCACGGTCTCGGCAGTGGGAGGCAGAGAGCCCGGCCAACCGCCGCAAAGCGGGTGCGCGTGCTTGAGACACGCTCTCTAGACCTCTCTCTCTTCTGAAAGCGGAAGGAAATGCTGAGAGAGAAAAGCCCCAAACAGGAAAAAAAAACCCACAATCTTAAGTCCAACTAGTAGCACAAGATATCCCAGCCTCCTAAAGCCATGGCCCATTCCAGCTCACACAGTGATTCTGTCTGAGGTAAAACACACACTGCTTCTAACAATAAAAAGGACACTGAAGCACTTCTCATCTCATTTAATTCTGACAAAAACCCTGCCCGGAAATGATATTATTCTCATGGCAGAGTTGAGACAGCTGAGTTTCAAAAGTGTTCTATTGATCATCAAGGCCACCCATCAAGCATCAGGATTCCCTCACTTCTCATGAAGCTTCAACCCACTAAGGAGACCATGGCGCTTAGGAGACTGTGTCTTAGGAGCTTAAAATCTAGATGCGGTCATTGAAGCCACGCAACCAATTTGAGCAGGCATCTTTACTGGGATCCAAACTGTTCATTTGTCTTACTTGTCTTTATTGATTTTTTACTAATTGTGCAAGCGAACGCCTTTTTTTCCCCTTGTACCCTCCCCACCCCCCCCAGGAATGGAAATTTCTTGACACATTTCTTTTACTATATAGAAGGGTGCTGCCAGTTAAGGAATTTTGTATAGCAAGTAAGATAAGAACACATCTACACTGACAGACACAAAATGGACTTCTTCGTCCAGGTAACAGAATAGTCCCTGGGTAGGTCAGGCGCGTCAGGCGTGGACTGACCCCGAGACTCTAGTCGTGTCACCTGAGCCCCGGCTCCTCCTTTCTGTACATCTCCCAGCTCTCTTCCTTTTTGCACCTGAAAATGTCCTACTCTTTCGGTAGCAAAATAGAGTAGGTCTAGGCCTTAGAGTCTTTATACCCAGAAGATGTTAGAGTTCTGTTGGCTCTTCATCTCCAGCAAGGTCTGAGACTCACTGTGATTGGAGAGGCAAAGGTTATCAGAGAGTTGAACGTGGTTTGTTGGTTGGCTTGGAATGGGACAATGTGAACCATCCGCCAAACTAGAGTGGGCCCCTACTTGGCTGTGAGTGCTGAGAGCAGAGGGGTGTGGGTTCCCTTAGACGGAACCAGGGTTATTTACCAGGCATTTAACTTGGGATTTGTGTGTGAACCAGAAGGCTACCTTTAATTTTATTATAAAGATGTCGATGGAATGAATTCACTTTCTGTTTGTGGTGAACAGAAGACTTCTATCCTTTAACATTTTCCTTAAGTTATAATGTAATATATGAACACTTTGGTAAGATTTACATTAGTGATGCTGCTCATTTAAATGTCATTGTGTTTTAATTTCAAATCCCAGTTGTTCATTGCTGTATTTAGAAAGCAATTGCCTTTTGTATATTAAATAAATAGCAGAATAGTTTTTATAGTTTTTATTTACATTTTTTATTAATTTGGATTAAATTTGATTATAGTTATACTTCTCAATATTTGGGGGAAATAACCATTAAAATTTACATTCTTTTTACTTATGCATGATTGGGATATCCCAGTGGCTCAGTGGTAAAGAATCGGCCTGCAGTGCAAAAACCACAGGAGGTGTGGGTTTGATCCCTGAATAGGGAAGATCCCCTGGAGGAGGGCATGGCAACCCACCCCAGTATTCTTGCCTGGAGGATCCCACAGACAGAGAAGCCTGGTGGGTTACAGTCCGTAAGGTCACAAAGAGTTGGACACGACTGAAATGACTTAGCATGCATTCACAGGATATTTCTAAACATTCACCAATTATTCCTAGAGGGAAAATCAAGTACCAATACCATTTTAAATTATACAGTATAAACACTTGAAAATTATTAGCTTTTGCAATTTTCTATCCCAGACATTATTATTTATTTTTCCTTCAATAGCTTACCTTTGCTTTCAAATAGTTGTTGCTCTGACTTAATTTTTTAAATTTAGTCTCAGTTTAATTTTACTGAAATTACATTTTAATCATTTGCAATGAACTGTATTTAACAAATAAGTAAATATATAGACATAGCAATTTTTATCTTAGCAGCTAGAGATGACTGATCCCAACTGTCACTAGTTTTTACAAATGCAAGTTGTAGGTGGGTAGCAGTAAACTTTCAGCACCCCTTCTTGTATTGATTTCTAGGAATACACATGATATACAAATGTATAAAAGCATAAAAAGTGAAGCTGCAAGATCTCAAAACACTAGAGAAAGCATCTTCAGAACCAAATAGGAGTGTACTTGATTTGAATTCTCTTCCATTTGAAAACCAAATCCAAAAGAGGATATTGCCGGACCTGAATGTTTATATAACATAACCCTCATTTTTCTCCTGCTCCATTATTAATGTACTATATTCTACCATCACTGGTTAATCAACTCTCTTTGTCCTTGGTGTCTAGGTGAGTGTTACTACCAGTCACATTTTACTGGTAGGCACCTTGAGAAAATGAGTATGTGAACCATATGCCCCTACACGTTTTGCATACAGATTCTGCTGAATGCCACGGGAGGGGAAGCAGGTAGCAGGCAGAGCTTCCCTGATGAGATAAGAGATGAAGGAAATGTTTTAACCAGTGTTTTGAACTCAGTTTGTTAAATTTAATTGAATGAACCTGGGTTAGAAAAGCAAATATTCTAAGGTCTGCGGAGGATACAAAGATAAATACGGTGCAGTTCTGTCTCTCAGAATCTAAAATCAAGAGAGGCAGGGAGGTTTGTAACGAACTGTGATGTAGTCAGAACGTTACAACAGAGGGAAGAGGAAAAGAGATTAGTATCACTTTTGATTTCATTTTTGAGGTAGGTTGTAAATTTCATTGTCTTTTAAACATTTTGTCTTAATATAGTTACATTATTAGAAGTAAATTTCTCATTATAAGAAATAATTACTCATAAGAAGCTGCAAAAAATACCATGAAAAGATCCCATGTACTCATTGCCTAACTTTCTCCAATGGTACCATCTTATATAACTTATACATTAATGAAAAGTAGGCAATCAATCCAACTTCATAAGTTGACTATATTCTTTACTGAGTAGTCTTTAATTTACAGAAATGGAGGAAAGGAGAAAGGCATTCTAGTTGAGGACTGAATTGGCCAAAAAGTTCATTCAGGTTTTTCCTTAAGATAGTATGGAAAAACCAAAAGAACTTTTTGATTAACCCAATAATATTTGGTTGAAGTTAGATCAGGAGAGAATTTGGATTATCCAAAAGAACTGCTGGACAGGATTTTAACAGATAGACCAACCCTCCAGTTTAGAAATGAACAAATGAGGCCCAGGGGTATTAGACAAGCTGCTTATTTCATTTTCTTTCCTTGTTTCACAACTGACTTTAGGCATATCTAAAGACCATATACCTAAATGTTGGTCTCCAAGATCTTATTTCATGTATATACCTTCCCAAGCTATTTTTTTCTTTGATTGAACAAACGCATGATTATTCTTTCGGAACCTCTATCAGATCCCATTAGACACATCTTTTCCTCTGAGTCCCTAGAGCCTAGTGCACTGTCTATGACACAGTAGATGCTCAATAAATATTTATTGAATAAACGAACCATCAAATTTCTTTTTCTTAGCCCTTAGACACTGGAGGAGAGGCTGATCAACAGAGGGAACAAAAGGATAAATCACTCCCACAATTAGCCCACTGCAATGGAAACTCATTACTACAAGTCAATTTGGAGTTGGGCAGAATGACAGCTGCAAGAAGAAATGCATTGGGCAAAGAAATACAATTTATTTGAATTATGATGAATTAAAAATGCACATAGGTAATTGTCCTTGTTTCAGCTACACTGTGCAGTAAATCTGTAAATAAAAGACGTGTCTCCAACATGCAGAACACTATATTCTCCTATTCTGCATTTTGAACACATACATCAGATGTCCCTTTATGGGGATCATTATAGTTTTTTGTTTAATTCCAAGCTTAAAAACAGAATCATCCCCAAAATGTGGCTTTCCTCATTGAACAATCTGTAGGCTAGCTTGTTGCCAAATTAAGCTGCACACAGCACTTGTTAACTTAATTAGCAACCTAATGGCTGAACCTCAGCCTGACAAAATGCATGTCGCTTCAGATGGAAACTGCAGTGAAACCATAGTCAGTTCAGGAGACACACAGTCCTGCAGATATTTATTTTTCTTTTCGGTGGCAAGAGGAATACCTGATTGCCTGGGAAGATCCCCCGCTTCCTACGGAAGTCCAAAGAGCACTACCAAGAGTCACCACCTTACAGGACTGTGAACACGCCTCTTTAAAGGCTGCGTGCAAGAGGACTCCCAGAGGGAGGATGGGTATACTTGTGCTCACATTAATAGCCCAGAAAGCAAGCTAATTAATTAGAGGATGCACGGAATGAACTGCATTTATCAACAAAAGGCCCTAGTGATCAATCATCTCAGAGCTTATTGAAAGCTGGAACTAAAAAGGCAGTTGCCCAGGATTCAACCTGCAGTGTTTGTGAATACCCCCAGATTAGCAGCAAAGCTTCTCACTGTAGGTGGACATGAAACTTTTATGTGATACCATATCTATCTATCTAGAATATCTATTAACAGTTGGTGGGGTTTAAAGAGTCACCTAACATGATTAATTTCTGTGACTATTTCAATATATATACATATATGTATGTATATGTGTGTGTATATATATAAATATATATATATTCTCAGACTTATGAGGATGGTGAAAGTTAAAGAGTTAAGAATCATTCTCAAAATCATAGAACTAAAAACTATGACAGAATTATAGAACCCTAATCCACTGAGCCTTAAACCATAGTAATTTTCACTGCACAATGTCACCTCCCTAATATCAATATGAACGATTTTTGTGTGTGTACACACACACATATACTTTGAGGTACATACAATATAGATTTAAAATTTCCCAGTTATTCATTTACTTTTTCATATGCCTTGTAGGATTCTAGCACACAGAAGAAAAACAATAGTACATAAGATTAAATGCATTTTCTTGACTGATCACTTATTCCCATCTTGTCTCTAATTTTCTTTGTCTAAGCCTCCTTTCTCTTATAC